CTCAAATGAATAGGAACGACCACCCGGTAGTAAATTGGTGTGCATCTAGATCTGCTCAAAATCCTTGAACACAGTTGCTTTATGCAGAAGGTCCCCCCGTTCGATCCGGGGTCGGGTGATAATGTGGTTGTATCGTTTTTCATTTGTTCCATATACATAAGTCTCCACAGCCCATTTTGTTGGTGCAGGGAGACTGACAGGTGCCGTGGAGCGCATCCATCTTTGAATGCAAAATCGCCTGCACTGTCTGCACAACCAGGGGCCAGTTGAACTTTAGGTTCCACCGTAATTTATTTTTCGACCTCGCTGCACATTTCTTTCGCTCTCCAATAAACCCAGCCTCCAAAGGCAAGGAACGACCACTCGGTAGCACATTGGTGTGTATCTTCTCTTAATTCAATGTCTGCGGCAAGAGATGTGATGCGCAGAAGGCCGCCGTTCGACGTGATATGTCATGCAGGACAATAGCTTTTCATTCTCATTTTATTCCCTCCAAATACGGTTCAAGTCCAACGCACCAGCTCTCCGACCACGGCTTTGTGCAGCAGCATATGAATGAATAAAATAAAATGAATGGCACAACTAGGGGTCAGTTCACTACATCTTTCAACATAGTCACTGGCAGCACATGATTTCCTCTCCAATAAAACGGGGTTCAAAAGGTAAGGAAGAACCACCCGGCAGCACATTGGTGTGCATCTGCCTCGATTGCACTCTCAATGCGGGCATAGAATGCAGAAGGTCCCCGTTCGGTCCGGGGTCGGGTGATAAGTCGAGGATGCGGGAGGTTTATTTATTTTTATTGCATCTACGAAAATATCCACAGCCTGTGTTGGGAAAGATATAGTAGAGGATGCACGAGCACGGCTTTCCCTCTGGAAAGATGAATAAATAAATGCTTGAGTCGCAGCTTCAAGGTGAATTCCGCCTCAGCGTATTTTTCAACATAATTTCCTCTCGAACAAAACCAGACTCAAAAGAGTACGAACTACGCGGTAGCACATTGGCGTGCATCTGCTTTCAATTGCAATGAGTCAATACGATATACAGGAAGTCCCTGATGAGGCGGGTGAGTCATTAGGGTTTTTTATTTTTATTGCATCTACAAAAATATTCACAGACCATTTTATCGGAACACAGCTGCTTGGGACAGCACGTTCGGTTCATTGAATGGAAGAAAATCACCTCCAGAGATATGCGGGTTGAATGGATTATATCCCAGCATTTTGGAAGATGCAACACATAATTTCCTCTCACACAAGATGAAGTTGAAAAGACTGCGAATAACCGCCCGGTAGCATGTTGGCGTGCGTCTGCTTTCAATTGTCCTTGTCACTGGAAGAATAGGATGCAGAAGGTCCTCGTTCGATTCGGGGGGTGATTCCTGGAAAAATGTGCTTTATTTTTATATTTTTCATTCTTGTTCCATATACATAGATCTCCGTGTGGGAGCAGAAATGACGAGCCCATCGCACGCCCTGCCCAATGACAAAAGAAAGAAGTGAAAAACCACAAACTGCTCAAGCCTCAACATTTTTCTCAACTCGGCAGCACATACTTCTTGCCCAAAATGAGGTTCAAAGGGAAGTGAATAACCACCCGGTAGCCCATTGGCATGCGTCTGCTTTCAATTGACCGACCACAGAAGATGTAACAGTGCGCAGAAGACCCCCGTTCGATCCAGGGTCGGGTGATGTCGTGGCTTTCACCTCTTTTCATTTTGTTTGGAACTAATTCTACACAGGCCATTTTATCCGAGCAGATATAAACAACAAAGAGATAGAGAGAAAGAGACGAAGCAAAACCCATGGGCGGCCGCGAATTGTGCATGGGTGGAGTGCGACACCGACACGAACCAGCCACTACGCCATACGCCCGAAAAAAACAAGACCTCACAGCACCGGTCCTTCACCGACACAATAACATAAAAAAAAGCCGCCTAGCGAAGAAAGAAAGTAAGAAAAAATGCCGTCCCGCACCCCGCCTCTTCCTTGCCGACGGAGACGCACACAAAAGGGGCCGTGTCGCCCGCCTGCGTGCGCGACGCAAGCCGGCAGACGTAACCGCCCGCCCGCCCGCCACCACGGGCGCGCTGGCAAGGTGCACGACCAATGACGAGGCGACGCGGGGAGGTGTTCGTCAAAGGGAAACGGGTGCGAGGAAGAGCGCACAAGGAAGGGGCCCAGAAAGGTAAGGAAAGCGCCCTCGGAAAAGCAAGGAAGGAAGAGTACGGGAACAAAGCGACGTGCTCGCGAAAGGGTATGCACAGTTGTAGTGATGGGCGAGTTCGGCTCGGTTCAGGTTCAGGGTACTTTTTCTTGAACCCCGAACTCGAACTTCGGTTCAGGTTCGGAGATTTGCTGAACCTCGAACCTGAACCTCAAGTTCAGGTTCGGTTCGAGTTCGAACAGGTTCAAACCTGTTTTTTTTTTTCGCAGTCTGAATATGAACAGGAGAAATTACATGTGTGAGTTGTACTGTTTATTCATACAACCAATGATTTCTGATGATTTGCAGGCCTCAGAAAAGTGTAATTCATGCGCATCCATCCAGACACCCACTGTCACGCGGATTGATGTCCCATAAGCATCCACTTTGTAATCTGAAAGCGACAATTCACCATGCAAATTGTGATTGTAGTGACTCAGCCACATGTGGGATTTGGAGATGTGAGATTCTGTGTCCCAAGTCCTGACTAAAATGTCATAGAAAATACTGTTTGTGGCATTTTCAAGTTCACGGTTCGAACGGGTTCAAGAAAAATAGGGCTCAGCCGAACTTCGAACCGAACTTCAGGTTCAGGTTCGATCATTTCACTGAACCTGAACCTGAACTTCGCGTTCAGTTCGGTTCAGTTCGAGTTCGAACCGAAAGGTTGAACCGAACTTGCCCATCACTACACAGTTGCGCCCAAGAGGAAACATGAGATGGACGCAAGGAAAGAAGAGCGTGTTCCCAAAGAAAATAAAAGTGGACGATGCAAACGGGGAAAAAAAAAAGAGAAGTGGAGAGAAACGCACATGAGGACTGCGACGGTGGCGACGTCGATGGGGTAAAAGGTGAGCGCAAAGTTGACGCCGAGGATGTACCACAATGTGCCGTTCGTGCTATGCTGGGGGGGACAAGGGGTTGGGAGGGGATGAGACATGCTTGTAATACAAGACACGTACCTTCTCGCTCTCGCGCATGAGAAAGCCGAGCACTCGTTCGTGGACACGCTCTACGGCAGGGTAGCGCAGGCGCACAAAGTCCGTCGGGACTCGGCGCAATCACCGCCAGCGCGGACCACAGCACGAGCGTCACGGCGCGTGGGGAGATGCTTGGTGTAAGGTGAAGCCTGAGTGTGATGAAGCATGTAGTATGAGTATTGTGTGCAATAGACAGAAGGGCACGCGTACCAATAGACGAATGGAACACCTTGCGCGGGATCTCCCAGTCCACCTTGCGTGCGACATCCTCCACCGCGCGCGCCTTGCCCTTGTCCATGACAGTATTAATATTCCTGTTATCGCCCTGGACAACCGCGTGCGCGACCTCGCCCTCCTCGTCCTCGTCCTCGTCCTCGTCCTCGAGCAGCTGCTGGTGCCCCAGCCCCTCGAGCGTGCGGATGACCTTGCGCGTGATGTTCTTTACGCCCGCGACGTCGCGCGCAGGCGAGGCGGACGCTCGGCGCTTCGGCGATGGGCATCGGGTCTTCGTGCTCTTTGGCGTTGTAGCCGTCGTGGTCGCTGTGGACGCCGGTGGTGCAGGACTGGTCGTCGCTCTGCGTGACATTGGAAAAAGGAGACAAGAGTCACACGATATTAAGCATGTGTTTGTGGTTAAATTTGGGTTGTTCAGCTTGACAGCGGCCCTACTATAAAATCGGGTTCGCAGTCGCGCTACTAAAGCAGAGAATTTCTAAATTTGTGTTGTTCTAAAAATCGGCCTTCGTCAATCTGCAGTCGCGCTACTAAAGCGGAGAATCTGAAATTGGTACTGAATTAATGGTTGAACGTTGAACGTTGAAAAGGAGATTGAAACGAATAGAGGCAACCATCCGGTAGCACGATGGCGTGCATCTGCATTTCATGGACACGCTGTGAGGTAAGTTGGTCTGCGCAGAAGGTCCCCGTTCGACCCGGGGTCGGGTGATGCATGTGGCTTTCAACACCTTTTTTTCATTTTTTTTTCAAACTAATTCTACACAGACCATTTTATCCGAGCAGTCCAGGTTCTAGAGACCATCGAGCACGCCCAGCCCCAAAAAATCAAGCTCGAGCTGAATTCCGCCTTAGTGTATTTTCAACATGACAGCACGTCCTTTACTCCCCAATAAACCCAGGTCGAAGAGAATAGTATGAACACCCGGTAGCACGATGGAGTGCATCTGCTTTCAATAAAACGATATCTTTGATACAACATGGTTGCAGATGGCCCCCGTTCGATCCGGGGTCGGGTACTGTGTGCTTCCGTTAACGCTTTTCTTTCATTTTTGCTTCATTCGAACTCGGTTCAATCTCTTAGCGCAGCTCTCCGTGTACGTATCTGTGCAGCAGTATATATGAAACAAGTAAAATAAAATAAAATCCCGCGCATCAATAGGGCCGGGTCAGTTGAATTTTTAGGTTCCACATCAGTAGAAAAAAATCATAACAAATTAGCAGATAATTTCCTCTCGAACAAAACGAGGCTCAAAGAATACGAACAGCCACCTTGTAGCACATTGGTGTGCATCTGCTTAAAATCCCTGGATCCCACACGCCAAGTCGATTCACGCAGAAAGTCCCTGTTCGATCCGGGGTCGGGTGATTAGGCGAGTATCCGGAAGGTTTTTTATTTTTATTTCATCTACAAAAATATCCACAGCCTGTGTTGGAGCAGATATATTAAAGGATGCCCGAGCACGACTTTCCCTCTGACAAAAAAATTAAATTAAATGCTTGAGTCGTAGCTTCAAGGTGAATTCCACCTCCGCATATTTTCCTAACACAGCAGCAGATAATTTCTTCTCAAATAGCCACCCGGTAGCACATTGGCGTGCATCTGCTTCAATTTGAAGAAATGGGTTGAGTATGATACGCAGAAGACCCCCGTTCGATTCGGGGTCGGGTGCTGATTGTTCCGGCGTTGCTTTTCTTTCATTTTCGCCTCATTCGAACTCGGTTCAATCTCTTCGCGCATGTACGTATCTGTACAGCAGTATATATGAAAGAAGCAAAATAAAGTAAAATCCTGCGCATATATATGTAGGGGGTCAGTTGAATTTTTAGGTTCCACATCAGTAAAAAAAAATCCTAACAAATTAGCAGATAATTTCCTCTCGAACAAAACGAGGCTCAAAAGAGTACGAACAGCCACCCGGTAGCACATTGGTTTGCATCTGCTTAAAATCCCTGGATCCCATATACCAAGTCGATTCACGCAGAAGGTCCCTGTTCGATCCGGGGTCGGGTGCTGATCGTAGTGGCAATTTTTATTATTTTCATTGCATCTACAAAAATATCCACAGCCTGTGCTGGAGCAGATATAGTAAAGGATACACGAGCACGACTTGCCCTCTGACAAAAACGAAATTAAATGCTTGAGTCGCAGCTTCAAGGTGAATTCCACCTCAGCATATTTTTCAACACAGCAGCAGATAATTTCCTCTCCAATAAAACCAGGCTCAAAAGAGTATGAACAACCACCCGCTAGCATGTTGGTGTGCATCTGCTTAAAATCCGATACGATAAGTTGATTCACGCAGAAGGTCCCTGTTCGATCCGGGGTCGGGTGATGAGGCGTCATTGGATGGATTTTTATTTTTATTGCATCTACTTACAGAGATATCCACAGACCATTTTATCGCAACACAAGTGCTTTGGGACAGCACATTCAATCGGTTCATTGAATGGAAGAAAATCACCTCCAGAGATATGCGGGTTGATGGATTATATCCCAGCATTTTTGAAGATGCAATACATAGTTTTCTCTCGCACTAGATGAGGTTGAAAAGACTGCGAATAACCGCCCGGTAGTATGTTGGTGTGCATCTGCTTTCAATTTCCCTTGTCATTGGAAGAATAGGATGCAGAAGGTACCCGTTTGATTCGGGGTCGGTGATGAAGCGGTAGCGACAGATTTTTTGTTAGAATTAAATCTCTGCAGACTATTTTATCAGCGCAGAGATAGGCCAATGACAAAAGCAAGAGAAAAAAAAACACCAACTGCTCAAATCGATTTCTGCCTGGGTTAATTTTCAGTACGGCCACACATAATTTCCTCGTCAACCAAGTTCAAAAGACTGTGAATACCCACCCGGTAGCACATTGGCGTGCATCAACTTTCAATTCTAGAGGCAGGACATGGTGTGCAGAATGTCCCCGTTCGATCCGGGGTCGGGTGATGAAATGGTTTGAAGTAACTTTCTGTGTTTTTAATGTTGATGCCATCCTCCATGAACGGAGATACTAGTGCTACTTACAGGATGGATGGACTGTTCAACGCGGCAGGACGGAAGTTTCGTTCCAATAAAATGGGGTTCAAAAGAATAGGAACAACCACCCCGTAGTACATTGGTGTGCATCTGCACTCAATGCGCAATTCTCTATGTGGAATGCAGGTCTCCGTTCTACTTGGGGTCGGGTGCTGGTGCTCGTATCTTTTTTATTTATTGTCATTCCATCTACATGAATCTCCGCGGAACATTCCATAGGAGCAGAGAAACTGACAGGCAGCTTTCAACACAGCCTGCCCAACCAAAACAATGTAATCAAATGGCGGGTTAGTCGAAAAGATCCGCCTCCATATTTCAACACGACAGCACGTAATTAACTCTCAAACAAACCCAAGTCCAAAAACAAGGAGTGCCCACCCGGTAGCACTTTGGTGTGATTCTGCATTCAATAAATGGACATAGATGATGCGCAGAAAGTCCCCGTTCGATCCTTCCACATCCTGTACATAGGCACAAATTGAGAGTGGATGCACAGCGTCGTGCTATCAGGTGGTTGCCTCTATTCCGTTGAACCCGGGTTTGTTCCAGAGGAAATTACGTGCTGCCGTGGTGAAAAATAAACTGAGTTAGAATTCAACCAAACCGCCATTTCTTGGGTTGAATTTTCCATTCACGTGCTATCCCAAAGCACCCGTCGGTTTCTCCAGGCCAAGAAAACAGGTTGTTGGAATTTCTGTAGATGTGTAATAAAATAAAAATATACTGGCAGCACTCCATCACCCGACTAGGATTAACGCTGCCGTGACTCGGAAAGTCGACTTTAAACAGATTTTGACTCGACTCGACTCGATTTAGAAGGGTTAAGTCAACTCAAGTTGACTTGAGTCGACTCCGTCAAGAAAAAACTTTGTAAATAACTGCAGAGCACCATCCCAACACCCCATCCATAATCCAACGGTTTCAACGCTGAGCGGAGTGGATTACTGCGTCCAAGTGGTAATAGGCAACATGTTACAGCCCTTAACACCATAAGTTGTGGGTATTTGGGGGATTTAAGATGCAATGTCACGGTTTAATTAGGTATTGTGGTTATTCTGGGACGAGGTTTGCGCTGCTGTTACGAAGAAGTCACGGACGTGTCACGCAGCGTGACTATCGTGACGCGACTGTCACGCCCGGCACCACAGATCAGCGAAATTGATTTTATTCACAAAAAACCATTAAATAAGGCATTTGTGAATTTGGGTCCCCAAGTCGACTCGGAAGTCAAACTAAGTCACAGGAATGACTTGGCTTGACTCGGCTTTTTAAGTCGAATGTTGAAGTCAACTTGTCACTTGTTTTGGCTTGAGTTGTCGCGACAGCATTACTAGTGATCTGCAGGGGTCTTATATCAAAATCACCTGATGTGCATATGCGAGTATATAAAATGTTTTATATAGTCTAAGCACTGTAGTTCCCTATTCTACATTGCTTAGGCCAGGTTTTGAAAAGTTTGGACAAAAAACAAGGAAGACACAGGGACATTAGTGACAACAATCATTTTTTGGAATATTCATCTGCCCCTTATGTTCCGCAAATGGCTGTAGAAATATGCCGTGACACTACTCCATCACCCGAACCCGGATTGAACGGGGACCTTCTGTATATATGCGAATCTCCGAACCATAAGCAGAAGCAGATACAGGGGGCATTTGCCAACACATGTCGTTTTGACATGTAGAGTATGCATATTCACACGCATGTGCTCGGCATGTCCACCCAAAGTCTTTGTAAGTATTAATTCATAAGTAAATAAAATAACATTAGGTTATACATACCTACAATGAACTATGTGAGCCTACAATTTGCAAGGGAATGGTAGTTACTCTTCATGATTCATAAGCACATTTGACATGGGGAAAATAAATAAATAGGCAGGCTACATACTGGACAAAAAAACTACAATCTGGACATGGCATGCTGTGCACACAAAGAACAGCTAGGTATATATTTGTTCAAAAATGGGTGGAGCTGTGGAAAAGTTGAAGTGAAAGAATAACAAGACTACCCTGATTATCTGAGTCCCACACTGCAATTCAAACCAAGACTCCTTGCCCCCCCTTTTCTCCGAAATCACTTCCTTGAGCCAATTTGTCCTCTTCCTCTTTCTCAGTGATGTGTGCTTCCTCTGGTGTGCTAACAGGTACATGCAATTTCGAAAGTCGTTGAAATTGTTCTTCATACTCGACGAAAATTGCAGAATCAACCTCTGCTAGCTTTGCATCAATCTTGAGTATATCCTTCATCTGGGAAGATCTTTCGAACAGTGGCCTTGCTGCCTTCCACAATTCAACTGCCTTCATGACCTCTCCACAACCTTTCAGTATATCACCAATTTGAACCATGCAATCTGCTCGCCAGTGATGGACATCCATAAAGGTGAATCCATCAAGAGCAACATTGAATAGGCTGAGCGCAGTTTCATTGTCCCCTTCAGCTGAAAAAATCTGGCCAAGGTATCGGAATGCTTGTATTGTCTGGCGCTTGTCCTTGGACTTCAATGCCAGTCCAAGGAAGATCCCAGTCCATCGCAGCGTAGTTTGGATATCATTCATCCCAGCAGAAAGATCTCCAAGCCTTTCTAGACAGAGGAGTGCCAGGTCTGTGATATCCTGAGATGATACAAAACATTTTTCATAGATTGTATTTGCAGTCTCAAGAGCCCCATCTCGAAGACAGAGGTCAGCAGTTGCAAGATCAGCTGTGAGAGATGTCTCTTCAGCTCGAAACCCAGAAAGTGCCTTCAAATGAGACCGAGCCATGTCCAGATTTTGGCGAATAATTTTTGAGTCAGCACCAGTAGTAATATCAATGAAAGCATTGTTCAAGTTTGCCAGGATGGCATTGTATGAAGATGCCTGGCAGCTAGATGCAATGGCAACTTGCAGGTTACGAGATTGCAGATACTCAGATTTCACAAGGTGTATCTCAGCCTGGACATTCAGGATGTTGTATACCAATACACTTTGTTGTTGACCCAGAGTGGCCAGGATGTGTTTGGATTTTTGCAGAAGACATTGAGCTTGGCAATAGTGTGCCAAATTTAAGTGACATTTTGCTTGAAGATAGAGAGACTTAGTTTGTTCATACATGTCCCCTATGTGCTCAGCATATCGGTGTGCCTCCTTGGCATGTGTGAGTGCATCCAACGACTTTCCAGTGATAAAAAGGAGGTTGCATATGCTGGTCAAAGCATGGATGCCAACAATGGTAGGGTAGCCAATACTTTCTGCCAGAAAATATGCTGTTTGGTAACACTCAAGGGCTCCCACAAAATCTGACTTTGCCCCCCAGAGGTAGGATCCTAGAGCACGGTACCATCTGGCTGGTGGAAAATTAGTTACTTGAACACAAGGATAGTGATTGTATTTTACCTTGTTCCAGTGGATCTTTTGATTTGAAATGCTGAGTGCCTAGGGTGATGTTGCTATTGAGACCCAAGTTAGGCAAATATTCCGAAGTGTCTAATAGCTGGATGAGATATTCCCCAAAAATTGGACTGTCTTTCCAATGCAGCATTTGCCTAGAAATCCGCAGCAAAAGGGGTGAATATGTCTCTTGAACCCGAGCATAGAATTGATTGAGAAACAGGATGCTCTTGAAATTCTGGACAATATCAGGCCCCTCTGGTTCAA